CAAGCTCAGTATTCTAGATCCTTTTTGTGACAATTGTTTACAAATGTCATAAATCAACAAAATGTTGCTGAAACAGCCAAATAATAAAGTTGTCTGTCGATTCTTACATGCACATTTATTTGAAGCCCCACTCTGGCTTTTGCCAGGGGCCGCAATATAGGCAGGTCAACATTATGGCCAAATGTTTGAACGCGGTTTCTGGGACCTCTCCACAGTGATCCTCATCCACATGGTGGCACTTTGTGTCATCGGGTGTTTATCGCTTGTGTGATGTCCTGGTGGGGTAAAAAGCCAATCCAATTCTTACATGCAGCAACTTAATGATGAAATTGTCTATCACGTCTTAATTGTAACAGCCTCAAGACGAATTTTTATGTGCAGCCATACATGCAAAAACTTAATGATGAAGACTATCATGTCTTAGTTGCAACAACCTCATGACGAAGTTGTATGTGCAGCCATACATGCAGCAAGTTATTGATGAAGTTATCTATCACGTCTTAATTGTAACAACCGCATGACGAAGTTGAATGTGCAGTCTTACATGTAACAACAAATGATGAAGTCGTCTATCGAGTCTTAGACTTCAAACCCCGGCATAATATTGGTGAAGTTGCTACAATACACGAGGTTAGAAGTGACCACAAAAGACGAGGTTAGAAGTGACCACAAAAGACGAGGTTAGATGTGACCACAAAAGACGAGGTTAGAAGTGACCACAAAAGACGAGGTTAGATGTGACCACAAAAGACGAGGTTAGAAGTGACCACAAAAGACGAGGTTAGATGTGACCACAAAAGACGAGGTTAGAAGTGACCACAAAAGACGAGGTTAGATGTGACCACAAAAGACGAGGTTAGAAGTGACCACAAAAGACGAGGTTGGATGTGACCACAAAAGACGAGGTTAGAAGTGACCACAAAAGACGAGGTTGGATGTGACCACAAAAGACGAGGTTAGAAGTGACCACAAAAGACGAGGTTAGAAGTGACCACAAAAGACGAGGTTAGAAGTGACCACAAAAGACGAGGTTATAAGTGACCACAAAAGACGAGGTTGGATGTGACCACAAAAGACGAGGTTAGAAGTGACCACAAAAGACGAGGTTAGAAGTGACCACAAAAGACGAGGTTAGAAGTGACCACAAAAGACGAGGTTAGAAGTGACCACAAAAGACGAGGTTAGAAAAGACCACAAAAGACGAGGTTAGAAAAGACCACAAAAGACAAGGTTAGAAAAGACCACAAAAGACGAGGTTAGAAAAGACCACAAAAGACGAGGTTATAAGTGACCACAAAAGAGGAGGTTAGAAGTGACCACAAAAGACGAGATTAGAAGTTACCACAAAAGAGAAGGTTAGAAGTGACCACAATAAAAAAAAACAAGGTTAGAAGTGACCACCAAAGATGAGGTTAGAAGTGACCACAAAAGACGAGGTTAGAAGTGACCACAAAAAACGAGGTTAGAAGTGACCACACACAAAAAAAAACAAGGTTAGAAGTGACCCCCAAAAAAAGTTAGAAGTGCCCACAAAAGACGAGGTTAGAAGTGGCCACACACACACACACAAAAAAAAGATTATAAGTGACCACAAAAAACAAGGTTAGAAGTGACCACAAAAAAACAAGGTTAGAAATGACCACCAAAAACGAGGTTAGAAGTAACAACCAAAGACGAGGTTAGAAGTGACCACAAAAGACGCAACTAAATGTGACCACAAAGGAGGAGGTTAGGAGTGACCACAACAGACGCAACTAAATGTGGCCACAAAGGAGGAGGTTAGAAGTGACCACAACAGACGCAACTAAATGTGACCAGAAGAGACGAGGTTAGAAGTGACCACAAAAGACGCAACTAAATGTGACCACAAAGGAGGAGGTTAGGAGTGACCACAAAAGACGCAACTAAATGTGACCACAAAGGAGGAGGTTAGAAGTGACCACAAAAGACGCAACTAAATGTGACTAGAAGAGACGAGATTATAAGTGACCACAAAAGACGAGGTTAGAAGTGACCACAAAAGACGCAACTAAATGTGACCACAAAGGAGGAGGTTAGAAGTGACCAAAAAAAGACGCAACTAAATGTGACCACAAAGGAGGAGGTTACAAGTGACAACAAAAGACGCAACTAAATGTGACTAGAAGAGACGAGATTAAAAGTGACCACAAAAGACGAGGTTAGAAGTGACCACAAAAGACGCAACTAAATGTGACCAGAAAAGACAAGGCTAGAAGTGACCACAAAAGACGAGGTTAGAAGTGACCACAAAAGACGCAACTAAATGTAACTAGAAAAGATAAGGTTAGAAGTGACCACAAAAGACGCAACTAAATGTGACTAGAAGAGACGAGATTAAAAGTGACCACAAAAGACGAGGTTAGAAGTGACCACAAAAGACGAAACTAGAGGGTGCCACAAAAGACGAAGTCAGAAATTGCCACAAAAGACAAAATTAGAAGTTACCACAAAAGACGAAGTTAAAATAAAAGTGAGGAAGAGGTGCTCCTGGTGATTACTTCAAATACTGAATGCTGACATATTTGCTGTTATCATTGTCTGTTTTTTATTCCCGTGGCCATGGGTGATCAATGCCTCCATGGAACTGAGCAGGTCTGGTGGTCATCCCTTTATGGATAACCAGACATCGGCCCATCGACTATGTGCTGTGTGGCTACTATTCCTTTCAGTTTGTCTGTACCACTGTAATGGACACACAAGGTGTCTATCCGGAATGGCTGTATCCAGACTTTGTAAGTGACGTCAGTGTTTCGTGTAAGTGAAGTTGTGTTGTTGCTGTTGTTATATCTTTTTCTTCTGATTTTTCTCATACTCTGCCCCTCCTCCTCTTAAGTCACCGTCCATCTATAAATGTCATAATTCATATGAAGGCGGCAGAGATACGGAGTCGTACCCTTTACTGTCGGGGGGGGGGGGGTGCATATATAGGTGTATGTGCGAGAGAGAAGAGGTTTAAAAAGGGGGGGGGGAGAGAATATAGGTGTGTGAGGAGGGGTTTGGGATGATAAATATATCGGTGTGTGTGTGTGTGGGGAGGGGTTGGGGGTGGTACATAAATAGGTGTGTGTGAGTGGGGGCTGGCTTATAAACAGCAACACCCTTTGTAAACGGAAATACTTCGGCTTCATTAATCGTCAAAGTGGTTTTTTAAAAAAAATCCAAAATAATAACCGATGTTACGGTGCCTGGAAGATTAGGCAGGAGTGGACCAGCCTGATGCCAAGCACACCCTGGGCGTGGAAGTTTACGTGGCGGACAATTGGGTGGCAGACCAAAGCTGGCAGAGAAGTTTTCTTACACGTCACTTTTGTTGAGATGTGATAACTCATGTCTGAGATATGGCTACACATTTCTTAGATATGGTTCTGTCTGCATTTGTTAGATATGGTTACACATTTCTTAGATATGGTTCTGTCTGCATTTGTTAGATATGGTTACACATTTCTTAGATATGGTTCTGTCTGCATTTGTTAGATATGGTTACACATTTCTTAGATATGGTTCTGTCTGCATTTGTTAGATATGGTTACACATTTCTTAGATATGGTTCTGTCTGCATTTGTTAGATATGGTTACACATTTCTTAGATATGGTTCTGTCTGCATTTGTTAGATATGGTTACACATTTCTTAGATATGGTTCTGTCTGCATTTGTTAGATATGGTTACACATTTCTTAGATATGGTTCTGTCTGCATTTGTTAGATATGGTTACACATTTCTTAGATATGGTTCTGTCTGCATTTGTTAGATATGGTTACACATTTCTTAAAAATGGTTCTGCACAGGTTAGATATGGCTACACATTTATCAGACATGGTTATGTCTTCGCTTGTTAGATATGGTTACACATTTCTTGGACATGGTCCTGCACTTATTTGATGTGACTACACATTTCTTAGACATGGTTTTGCACATGTTAAATATTGCTACACATTTCTTAGACATGGTTCCACACTTGTTAGATATGGCTACACGGTTCTTAGACATGGTTCTGCACTTGTTAGATATGGCTGACCATTTCTTAGACATGGTTTTGTCAGCACTTGTTAGATATGGCTACACATTTCTTAGATAGGCCTATGGTTCTGTCTGCACTTGTTTAATATGGCTACACATTTCTTAGACATGGTTCTGCACTTGTTTAATATGGCTACACATTTCTTAGACATGGTTCTGCACTTGTTTAATATGGCTACACATTTCTTAGACATGGTTCTGCACTTGTTTAATATGGCTACACATTTCTTAGACATAATGTTGTGCTTGTTAGATATGACTACACATTTCTTAGACATGGTTCTGAATGCACTTATTAGATATGGTTACACATTTCTTAGACATGGTTCTCTACTTGTTAGAAATGGCTACACATTTCTTAAACATGGTTCTGCACTTGTTAGATATGGATAGACATTTCTTACACATGGTTCCACACTGGTTAGATATGGCTACACATTTCTTAGACATGGTTCTGTCTGCACTTGTTAGATTTGGCTACACATTTCTTAGACATGATTCTGCACTTGTTTAATATGGCTGCACATTTCTTAGACATGATTCTGTCTGCACTTGTTAGATATGATTACATATTTGGGAGATTTGACTCAGAACTCCACTAATTTTGTTCTCAGATCAAATTAGATGATGTCATGTGACTACAGTTGCCTAACGTGTGGTCATGTTAAGGGATTTTCTCCCACCCACCCACCCCCCCCCCCCCCCCTTGCCCCCATGGCAGGCATGAGAGGCCAAGAACCAAATCCCCGATGCGACTAAGCGTTTCTGGGAAGACAACATCCAACAGTCCCTGACTGACAGACGACTGGAATGGAACAAAGCCACACACAAAAAAAGAAAGAAAACTACAGACAGAGAAGTCTGGCGATTTGTCCGGCAAACCTTTACACCCAAAGGTAGAAGAAGATCGACACAGTCAGTAATTCAATGTAATGTTTGTACATTTTGTCAATGTCCCAGCTGAAGGCAGTATACCACCATTACCTGGATGTCTACCACGACCCGTTTCTAAGAAATGCCTGGAAATACCCTTGGTTTCTGTCCATGTGCTTGGTGGAGCATGTCATTGGCCTCCCGTTTTTGCCTGGGCCAGTTACTCCTACTATTACGGTAAGTCAAGAACCCTTCCCGTGTCGTGTCCACAACTGGCAGACCCATATGTTTTAGGAAATCGACGCACTGTGGATGATGAGGTCAACATTACACCGGCTACTTTCACTTTCCCAGACACTTGCTGGGTAAAGTTTAAACCTGACAGGCTGATAAAATATAGCACCACAGAGTAAAGTTTAGATCTGACAGACTGATAAAATTTAGCACCACAGAGTAAAGTTTAAACCTGACAGGCTTATAAAATACAGCATCACAGAGTAATGTTTAAACCTGACAGGCTTATAAAATATAGCACGACAGAGTAAAGTTTAGATCTGACAGGCTGATAAAATATAGCACCACAGAGTAAAGTTTAAACCTGACAGGCTTATAAAATATAGCACGACAGAGTAATGTTTAGATCTGACAGGCTTATAAAATACAGCTTCACAGAGTAATGTTTAAACCTGACAGGCTTATAAAATACAGCATCACAGAGTAATGTTTAAACCTGACAGGCTTATAAAATACAGCATCACAGAGTAAAGTTTAGATCTGACAGGCTTATAAAATACAGCATCACAGAGTAATGTTTAAACCTGACAGGCTTATAAAATATAGCACGACAGAGTAATGTTTAAACCTGACAGGCTTATAAAATACAGCATCACAGAGTAAAGTTTAAACCTGACAGGCTTATAAAATACAGCATCACAGAGTAATGTTTAAACCTGACAGGCTTATAAAATACAGCATCACAGAGTAATGTTTAAACCTGACAGGCTTATAAAATACAGCATCACAGAGTAAAGTTTAGAACTGGGAATAATAAAACACAGCACCACAGAGCAAAGTTTAGACCCTGGAGTCTTATAAAACACAGCACCACAGAGCAAAGTTTAGACCCTGGAGTCTTATAAAACACAGCACCACAGAGCAAAGTTTAGACCCTGGAGTCTTTATCAAACCCAGCACCACAGAGCAAAGTTTAGACCCTGGAGTCTTATAAAACACAGCACCACAGAGCAAAGTTTAGACTCTGAAGTCTTTATCAAACCCAGCACCACAAACAAAAGTCACAAGAGACAGAGCGGGCGTTCAAACAATGCTTGGTTATTTATAGACACGACAAATATGATTATTGGCAGAAGATGATTACTGATTTCAGAATCGATATCGTTGCACCGGCGTACCCGTAGATGCTGTCTCCCACGGCAGATGTCTGCAGGTGTAGATACTGACTATTCCAGTAACACACTAATTATATACACAACGTTCTCTTTCTCTCATACATCCCTCCTTAAAGGATCCACTAACTCACACATTCTTACTTGACGGATCCACTAACTCACACATTCTTACTTACTTTATTTAATCCAACCTTGTGTCTTCTATCAGCATCGGTTCATTAACGGTTTTCATAATGTCTTTTTTGTCCAGTACGAGTGCTCCTGTAGCTATCGTCTGTGTAGCCAATACCTTCACTCTTTTATTCCCCCGCACTCCTGCATCTCCCTGACAGTGTATCCAGGTCAGCTCCTGTAATGCTGATGTGCAGATGCTTGTATCCATTCATGACACATTTGACCATTTTTAACTTTACGCAGTACCGGCTGAGAATTAGGTACTATAATTTCCAGAAGGAGAAGGAAAAAAAAGCAAAGAGGAGGACAAGAAAGAAGATGATACATTTAAATTATGTCCATAACACCTATCTTGTTCTGCACAGTATATTCACTGTAACTTCTGCTCTTTCAGGTGCGCTCAACAGACCTCATATCATCATACCTGGCATGATCTACAGCACGTATGCAATAGGCGGTATAATTGCAGTGTACGCCATGGCCATACTAGAAGACTTCAGCTCATATGGCGAAGGAGCACCCCAGACAACACGACACAGATTATTGCTGTGTTTCGACTATACTTGTATGCTTGTTTTTTACCTCATCAACGTCATCGACTCTTACTATTTAACAATGAATGCCATCTTTATACCCAGGCAGTAATGCAGCCTTTTATTTCTCTCAACTCAAGGTTCTATCAGCTTTTTGTTGGGATGATAAAAAAGAATACAAACAAAATAAGAGTTTATGAATTTTAAAGACAATAATTGTATCATGAATAAGATTTTATGGGGGGAGTTACATTTTGTAACTTAAAAACAGGAGAGACTGCATTCAGGGCCCCTCCAAAAAAACTTACAGAATACAAACTAGGATGTGAATAATTAATAAGAGGGGACAGACAAGATAGAACCAAACATTTTGGTCTAGGTCTTGAACACCTAAAGCAACCAATCAAGGCAGTGAGGTAAGGAATATTTCGTTGGTTTTCTGAGGCCAAATAATAAAATTATGGAACCTGTAAAACAGTGGTTGGAACCCATTTGAAATGAGTCAAACAAATGTATGCGCAATGAGTCAAACAACTGTGTGTGAAATTAGTCAAACAAATGTATGTGCAATGAGTCAAACAAATGTGTGTGAAATGAGTCAAACAAATGTATGTGCAATGAGTCAAGCAACTGTGTGTGAAATGAGTCAAACAAATGTATGTGAAATGAGTCGAGCAAATGTATGTGCAATGAGTCCAGCTTTAGTTAGATACTTCCCCATTCAACATTGAAAATGTATCACTGGGTGTTAAAACTATACAATTTAGAATTCCACTCTTTGCTCAGACTTGCTGTTGCCCTACCAGCTCTTATTTGTGTGTGAGGAGACAAAGTTCTTTGGTCGTGTGATGAGAAAAGGAGCACTGGACAATATCTTGACGAGTGAAAAGATTACTGGTAGAAGATAATGAGATCAAGAAAAATGACGGGAGATGGCTTAAGACAGCGGCACTGAGAAATATCATCAGCGGAACTGATCCAGAACACCAAAGACCGAGATCAGAGGAGATGTATAAATGCCTAAGCCAGCTAGTAAGGCACTTGATGATGATGATGACAAGGATTGGTAAACCTCAACATAATTTTCATTTTCATTTGACATGTCATCCTGGTGCAGGTAATGTCTTCATCAGTGTTTGTGAGAATACAGCCTCATCAACTAGCACTTGCTTCCCACAGCTGGCTAAGCTTTAGCTAGAGCTGTAGAGGTTTCAAAGAAAGAGAATAAAAGACCAGGACAGTGCTAGGCTTTCACATACTCTAGGACACGGCTATTCAACTGGGACCCATGGACCAAATCTGGCCGAGACCAAGCTAGTGGCCTGCAGATTATTGTCAGTTGTAGCGATCTGTCTATGCCAGTTGTAGTGATCTGTCTATGCCACTTGTAGCGATTTGTCTATGCCAGTTGTAGTGATCTGTCTATGCCAGTTGTAGTGAACTGTCTATGCCAGTTGTAGTGATCTGTTTATGCCAGTTGTAATGATCTGTCTATGCCAGTTGTAGTCATCTGTCTATGCCAGTTGTAGTAATCTGTCTATGCCAGTTGTAGTGATCTGTTTATGCCAGTTGTAGTAATCTGTCTATGCCAGTTGTAATGACCTGTCTACGCCAGTTGTAGTAATCTGTCTATGCCAGTTGTAGTGATCTGTCTATGCCAGTTGTAGTGATGTCTATGCCAGTTGTAGTGATCTGTCTATGCCAGTTGTAGTGATCTGTCTGTGCCAGTTGTAGTGATCTGTCTATGCCAGTTGTAGTGATCTGTCTATGTCAGTTGTAGTGATCTGTCTATGTCAGTTGTAGTGATCTGTCTATGTCAGTAGTAGTGATCTGTCTATGCCAGTTGTAGTGATGTCTATGCCAGTTGTAATGATGTCTATGCCAGTTGTAATGACCTGTTTATGCCAGTTGTAGTGATCTGTCTATGTCAGTTGTAGTGATCTGTCTATGCCAGTTGCAGTGATGTCTATGCCAGTTGTAGTGATCTGTCTATGCCAGTTGTAGTGATCTGTCTGTGCCAGTTGTAGTGATCTGTCTGTGCCAGTTGTAGTGATCTGTCTATGTCAGTTGTAGTGATCTGTCTATGTCAGTTGTAGTGATCTGTCTAAGTCAGTTGTAGTGATCTGTCTATGTCAGTAGTAGTGATCTGTCTATGCCAGTTGTAGTGATGTCTATGCCAGTTGTAATGATGTCTATGCCAGTTGTAATGACCTGTTTATGCCAGTTGTAGTGATCTGTCTATGTCAGTTGTAGTGATCTGTCTATGCCAGTTGTAGTGATGTCTATGCCAGTTGTAGTGATGTCTATGCCAGTTGTAGTGATCTGTCTGTGTTAGTTGTAGTGATCTGTCTAAGCCAGTTGTAGTGATCTGTCTATGCCAGTTGTAGTGATGTCTATGCCAGTTGTAATGACCTGTCTATGCCAGTTGTAGTGATGTCTATGCCAGTTGTAGTGATCTGTCTATGCCAGTTGTAGTGATGTCTATGCCAGTTGTAATGACCTGTTTATGCCAGTTGTAGTGATGTCTATGCCAGTTGTAATGACCTGTCTATGCCAGTTGTAGCGATCTGTCTAAGCCAGTTGTAGTGATCTGTTTATACCAGTTGTAGTGATCTGTCTATGCCAGTTGTAATGATCTGTCTATGCCAGTTGTAATGACCTGTCTATGCCAGTTGTAGCGATCTGTCTAAGCCAGTTGTAGTGATCTGTTTATGCCAGTTAAAGTGATATGTCCATGCCAGTTGTAGCGATCTGTCTAAGCCAGTTGTAGTGATCTGTTTATACCAGTTGTAGTGATCTGTCTATGCCAGTTGTAATGATCTGTTTATGCCAGTTGTAGTGATCTGTTTATGCCAGTTGTAGCGATCAGTCTAAGCCAGTTGTAGTGATCTGTCCATGCCAGTTGTAGCGATCTGTCTAAGCCAGTTGTAGTGATCTGTTTATGCCAGTTGTAGTGATCTGTCTATGCCAGTTGTAGTGATCTGTTTATGCCAGTTGTAGTGATCTGTTTATGCCAGTTGTAGTGATCTGTCTATGCCAGTTGTAGTGATCTGTTTATGCCAGTTGAAGTGATATGTCCATGCCAGTTCTAATGATCTGACTATGCCAGTTGTAATGATCTGTCTATGCCAGTTGTAGTGATCTGTTTATGCCAGTTGAAGTGATATGTCCATGCCAGTTTTAATTATCTGACTATGCCAATTGTAATGATCTGTTTATGCCAGTTGAAGTGATATGTCCATGCCAGTTTTAATGATCTGACTATGCCAGTTGTAATGATCTGACTATGCCAGTTGTAATGATCTGACTATGCCAGTTGTAATGATCTGACTATGCCAGTTGTAATGATCTGACTATGCCAGTTGTAATGATCTGACTATGCCAGTTGTAATGATCTGACTATGCCAGTTGTAATGATCTGATTATGCCAGTTGTAATGATCTGACTATGCCAGTTGTAATGATCTGACTATGCCAGTTGTAATGATCTGACTATGCCAGTGAAAGAAACTGAGTCATGAAGAGAACTGATTGCCCACACATCTATAGTCTTTGGTCATGTGAGAAGGAGAAAACTAGAGAACATTGTGACAGCAGGAAAGTTGGAGGGGAGGAGAGGCAGGGGGAGACCAAGAGAATATATGCTGGACAGTTTGAGATCATGGCATGGAGGATCATTTGTGTCAGAGTTGACTGAAAGTACACAAGAAAGAAGGTGGTGTATAGACATGACTACCAATGTCACAGGGCTGACTACCAACGCCACTTGGCATGGACTTTAGGAAGAAGAAGCAGGGTAAACTGAGTTGACCAGCTCTGTTCTAGGACATAACAAATGAGGTGGGGTGACAGTCCCATCCAACAGATCAAAACCAACCCAGAGCTACACAAGTGACTGAGTAAGTCTATCTGGTTTATTTAGTAACATGAAGCAACCATTGGCCTACACAAGAAATAATGAAGATATCGTGAAAGTAAACAATCCACAAAGAAAATATTATCAGCGTCAGAAGAAAACAAAAGTAGGTAATGGCTACAGGAAGGTCAAATGACCAAGAGAGAAGGTGCTGAACAATCTGGCAACATGGTACTAAACACTTTTTAATGTATCAGAAAGGACTGACAGTAAACGGGACTGAAGGCTTGAGATGGGCCAAAGCCATACAGCCAGACTATAAGACAAATAACAATAAAGCCTGGCGTCACGCCTCTGTGCCTTTTGCCAGCCCTCCCATTCTCTAATACATAAGTATGAGAGAGAATCCAAAGCAGAACAGTTCTATGACACTGACATATTACTCTGGCTGTTTGCCTGACAAGTGTTCACATTTAAACTGGTACTTGCAACTGGCTAAAATACAACACTGCCCCAGGTAATAATCAAATGATTTATTTGTCAGCAAAAATGTTGTTGAGATGTATGTACAACAAACCAGTAAACCTCAGACACATACAGGATAATTTAAACAGATGAAGAATCTATTTCTTTTCCCCGCAGTCCTCTATATCGTCTTCGTCAATCTGAGGCAAGAGTAAATAAGAAACAATTAGGTGTGAGAAACATGGAATGTTCACAACAGGAAATCAAACTGACATCAAAACCCAGGTGTAGCATGTTTTGTGTGTGTGTGTGTGTGTGGATAGTTATTTCTCTTATCCCTTGAATCCATTTTGAAATATTTTATCCCCATCAACTATCCTCATCAACTATCTCCAACTAAGTCCTTCGATCCTTGATTTTATCCCCATCAACTATCTCCAACTTAGTCCTCTTCGATCCTTGATTTTATCCCCATCAACTATCTCCAACTTAGTCCTTCGATCCTTGATTTTATCCCCATCAACTATCTCCAACTTAGTCCTTTTATCCTGGATTTTATCCTCATCAACTATCTCCAACTTAGTCCTCTTCTATCCTTGATTTTATCCCCATCAACTATCTCCAACTTAGTCCTTCGATCCTTCATTTTATCCCCATCAACTATCTCCAACTTAGTCCTCTTCGATCCTTGATTTTATCCCCATCAACTATCTCCAACTTAGTCCTTCTATCCTTGATTTTATCCCCATCAACTATCTCCAACTTAGTCCTCTTCGATCTTTGATTTTATCCCCATCAACTATCTCCAACTTAGTCCTCTTCTATCCTTGATTTTATCCTCATCAACTATCTCCAACTTAGTCCTCTTCGATCCTTGATTTTATCCCCATCAACTATCTCCAACTTAGTCCTCTTCTATCCTTGATTTTATCCCCATCAACTATCTCCAACTTAGTCCTTCTATCCTTGATTTTATCCCCATCAACTATCTCCAACTTAGTCCTCTTCGATCCTTGATTTTATCCCCATCAACTATCTCCAACTTAGTCCTCTTCTATCCTTGATTTTATCCTCATCAACTATCTCCAACTTAGTCCTCTTCTATCCTTGATTTTATCCCCATCAACTATCTCCAACTTAGTCCTTCTATCCTTGATTTTATCCCCATCAACTATCTCCAACTTAGTCCTTCTATCCTTGATTTTATCCCCATCAACTATCTCCAACTTAGTCCTCTTCTATCCTTGATTTTATCCCCATCAACTATCTCCAACTTAGTCCTCTTCTATCCTTGATTTTATCCCCATCAACTATCTCCAACTTAGTCCTTCTATCCTTGATTTTATCCCCTTCAAACTATCTCCAACTTAGTCCTCTTCTATCCTAGATTAAGCATGAAGACTTGTTTAGACCTGGCCGGGGTCTGCAGCCACAGCTTTCAAGACTGCGGCTTGTACACGTCTGCACAACAAGCTGAGACAGACTTACTCTTCCCTTGTTTGTCAGTCCGTCAGCCTCTTTACTTTCAGCTATTTTTACAATATGCAACATTTTGTGATCCACTGTTTCTAACTTTACTGTGTGGATCAGAACCATTGATCTGATCAAGACATGTGACTAGAATGGAGAGGAAACATGTCCAGTTACAATGAAAGGGTTGAAATGAAAGTAAGCAGAATTATCTATCAGAGATAATCATCAGCACTTACAATCTTCCACTTTTCTGGTAAAATATCAAAGAGGTCATCCTTGACATCCCCCTGGATCACAATCTCATCCTCAGCGCTGATGGATGAGCCGCAAGAGAACTTCCCAGCAAAAAACTTGCTGGCCTCTTTCAGGTCAATTTCTGGGTGCAAAACAAAACAGTAATTCTCCATGAGTTATAACCATGTCAATTGCAGTGAGAAAAGAGTTAAAAGGAATCTGTGTTGTGTGAGACATGAATAATAAGCACACTTTTTCTTGCAAGCCAACACGACTTATGAATTTAGAAGCCTCATATTTAAATAAAACAAGCATTTACCAGATATAACCAAAGCTAGATAAAGAAAATTATACCTCATGGAACGCCTACAATGATAACAAAGTCAGCTGGTACAAAGAGAATAAATATTTGTGATGAGGTGCTTTGCAGGGTCTCCACGCTTCCGTGGTCTTCCATCGCTTCCTATCTATTATAACACTGATCATTCAAGCCACATTAGAACTACATCTTCTATACACACAACCGTCTTCTACGACTTCTGGTAAGCAACTGACCACGAGTCCTTCTCAGGCTTTCCCTCGCTTACTTGTTGGAGCATACTCAATAAATGCAACAAAATAAACGGACAGCATGTACAAGGAAACTGAGCAGTGTTTGTGTTACCAATCCTAGACGTTAGAGCAGTGTTTATGTTACCAATCCTAGACGTTAGAGCAGTGTTTGTGTTACCAATCCTAGATGTTAGAGCAGTGTTTGTGTTACCAATCCTAGACGTTAGAGCAGTGTTTGTGTTACCAATCCTAGACGTTAGAGCAGTGTTTGTGTTACCAATCCTAGATGTTAGAGCAGTGTTTGTATTACCAATCCTAGATGTTAGAGCAGTGTTTGTGTTACCAATCCTAGACGTTAGAGCAGTACACGAGCAAGCTTTCATACAAAATCAGCATTATTACAATATTCTTCAGTGTCAGTTAAAACTGAGTGTTATATAAAGTATTTTTTTGTGTGTGGTGTGAAAATACTATTTTTGGGGGCCATTTTTCTTTACCAAAAAAAAAAAGGTGCTTTGTTATGATGCTCTAAAAGTTTCTCTGGAAACAGATCTAACGGGCTGATTGTTTTTATATTATATTATAAACCATATAAATTTATAAAAAGTGGTTCATGTTCATTTGTGATTTATTTTGGATATATTTTATCGAGTTTACCTTGAGTGCCAAAGTGGTAAGTGGAAAAATTATAATTTATTTTTACTTATTTTTCTAAACATACCATCTGTTTAATAATTAACTACTAACACAGTATTCCTTAACAATCCCTGGTCACTTTGATGTATGTTCTGTGCGGCAGCTCAATTAGTATGGTCTGTTTTAACATGTGTAACACTTGTGACATTTCAAAATTACGTTTCCACCCCTTGAGCCTCCAATGCTAAACCCCTAGGGACTCAAAAGAGTTAAACAATAAACATAACAAAGCAAATGTGGTCTGATTTGTAAAAGGATCCCTGCTGCTGCCCACAGGTGACGGTCTGGTTTATGAAGGATCATTTCTGCTGCCCACAGATAGCCCACAAGTGACGGTCTGGTTTATGAAGGATCACTTCTGTTGCCCACAGACAGCCCACAAATGTGGTCTGGTTTATGAAGGATCACTTCCGCTGCCCACACACAGCCCTCAAGTGATACAGTCTAAACTTGGTGTCCACTGGTAAACTAGAATACAAACAACTATATCTCTAGCAGCAGAAAGACATTATCAGAGCCTGGTGATTGCGTGCAATGATAAACAATGGGCAAGGCAAATAATGAGTTCACATCACAGGAAACCATTCAAATCCTAAAACTGACCCCTCTGATTTCAACACTTATTGTAAGAACTTGCCCAACACTGACCACAATGATTTCAACACTTATTGTAAGAGCTTGCCCAACACTGACCACAATGATTTCAACACTTATTGTAAGAACTTGCCCAACACTGACCACAATGATTTCAACACTTATTGTAAGAACTTGCCCAACACTGAACACAATGATTTCAACACTTATTGTAAGAACTTGCCCAACACTGACCACAATGATTTCAACACTTATTGTGAGAACTTGCCCAACACTGACCACAATGATTTCAACACTTACCGTAAGACGCTAGCCCAACTACAATGGTCACTTTCTTCTTCTTGCCTCTGGTCTGGGTCCACAACTTCACGCCTTGTGGTTCAATTTTCTTCTTTGTTTTCATGATCGCTTTCCCTCCTCTTGTCTGTCTCTTTTTCTTCTCTTCTCCTTCTTCCTTGCTGTCTCCTCCACTAACATCTTCCTCTGAAAATGACAGAAATGTTACAATGACAACAACCAACAACAGCAACAACAACAAAGACTAATAAATTTAATGTCTGCCTGCTTTTTATCAGGACCCATAAAAGAAGCAAGACACAGTAACACTGTCACCTAACATGCATGTCATAAGAGGTTACTAAGGATGGGTGGCCAGAAACTGCCTACCTCATCACACACACACAAATTCAGCTGTAAAATCCATTAAATTATCAAAAAGTCAAAAGCAAGCTTGGAGTTGAATGTTGAATTAAGAATTGACATCACACTCCCATAAGTGCTCAGTCCCCATCTTCAGCAGCAGGTGAAGAGTTCCAATTCTGATGGTACCAGTAACCGTTTATTATAAATCCGTCTCACCCTTCCCCTCAGTGTTATGCGTCGGCAAGATCCCCTTGTAACTCCATGCAATGCCATTCTCCTCAGACCGTACTGTTCACTCGCTCCAAAAGGGCCATCACAACATCCAGCTTGTCATACATCAGTTCACCACAAAGTGGTGCAGAACCGCCAGTCTTACTGCCTGCTCATTTCCCAACACACTGGCATGACCTGGAGAAAATATCCAAAGGATGCTAGCTACTCTAAACCTCTGAAGTGATGCTTGCCACTCTGCATGCCTGTCTCCACCTTTCTCAACATGCTCTGTGAGTGTTACAATGACTGCATGTGTGTACAGCTGATTCTCAAGCCAGCAAAGGCTCTGAAGGTTTCAAAACCCTACGTTTGTTTTTGATATTTTTATGAATTTTATTAGAAAACTAGTCATCATTTTGACAAAAATCTCTCAAACGTCCTTGGTAATGGGAGACAGTAATGCCCCAGACTGCTGGTCAGCAAAGTGTTAAATGTTAAACAAATACAAAGTGTGAGAGTAGAATGATAAATAAACAGCACAGCTACCTTTATCAACCTTGAGCTTTTCAAATTCATCTGGCACATTCTTCTCCAGCCAGGCTTTGCACTTCTCATAGTTGGGGTAATTCTCGCAGTACTGCAAGAGGCAGTAAACAACACAAATATATGGACAGGTTGTGTGAAGAGAGATGCTGCCATCTCTCATTTTTTTTTATATTTTATATATTTACACACACACACCATCATCATCTTGTGCCCTGCCAGCTAGCATAGGCTCTCATGCGTCTCCGCAGATCCTGATCCTTGGTTGCCTGGAACAGCTCCTTTGATGATCTCCATGTCATCTTTTCAGCCCATCCAGCATCATCTCTCTTGGTCTGGCTCTAGCCCTCTTTCCACTGATCTTTCCAGTTGTCACATGTTCTCCAATGTCTCTCTTCTCATGATGTGGCCAATGAACAGTGTTTGTCTCTTTCTTATTGTTGTATAGAGATCTACTTTCATTATCTTTTTTCAAGCAATCCTTGTTAGTTACTCTGGCCGTCCAAGGTATTCGCAACATTAAACTCAGAAACCACATCTCTATTGCTTCCAAATTCCGAGATTCGCTGCCATACAATAGAACAGGTTCTATGTAACATTTTAGCACCCTCTTATATACACATAAACAAACACATACATACACACAAGCGGTGCTGCACTGGTGTAGCGGCTAAGTGCTCACCTGCAAATCGGAATGTCATGGATTCAGGTCCTGATGGAGCCAGAATTTTTAAAGGTGGCCGGCATAGTGCTGACCACATCAGCCAGCGAGTGCCAACTGGTCTATGAAACATAGGCCTGGCCTTATAGGCCAAATACAGCTGAAGGTCTGAAAAAGGCTCCTAGGTGGGTCAAGGAGCCCAGGTCACAGAAAACATAGTTCTGTGTGTGCATACAGGCACTTGTGGTGTGTTTGTGCGTGTGTTGTGTGTGTCTTTATGTCAAAATATAAAAAGCATACAGTGCTTCTATACTAGTCAGTGTAAAGTGGGTGAAGTGAAAAATTATACAGTTATGTCAATGTCTGTCAGAGTGTGTTGCATGCGTATCGTATATAAGAAGTCACAAACCTATCACAGCATTTACTTGCCATTGCGTGGATTTACCAGGGAAGTTGTGAATGTTGAACAGTAGATAATCAACCACTGTCAAAATCAAGCAAAGCGGTCTACTAACAAATCACATGCTGCTCATTTCAAACCCTAAAAGCTTGTAAACAATCTTTGTCACTGTTCTGTCAACAACTCTGAAAGACCTACCTCAACTGGCAGCCCACATTCTGTTGAAAAAAAAAAGAGATGGTGTAAAAGATAAAGTAAGAAAACAAAAGAGATTTTGTAAAAGATTGAGTTGAAAAAAAAAAAAAGAGATTATGTAAAAGATAAAGTAAGGGGAAAAGGATTTGGTGTGAAAGATATAGTTAGAAAAAAATAAGAGATTGTGTGAAAGATATAGTTTTTTTTTTAAAAAGATGGGTAAAATATAAGTTAAAAAAAAAAAAAGATGGTGTAAAAGATAAAGTAAAAAAAAAAAAAAAAAGATGGTGCAACAGCTACAGTAAGGGGGATAAAGATAGTGTAAATGATATAGTAAGAAAAAAAGATAGTGTTTTAGATTTTTTTTTAAATTGTGTATCCTTTACAGTACGTTGCAGAACCAACCCCAACAGCCCCTGGCTGTTGTGTGGTTTTTCTAGACAAAATTACGTCCAGTAGTTTGCCATTGCTTTCTGGACGGTCAGCTTTCTTGATACCACTGTCGAAACCAAAGGAAGGCCCATGGCCCACAGCTGGGATCGAACCCGGCATTACAAAGCGTTCGCATCGACTTAGCCACAGAGCCGACAGTGTTAAAAATATAGTAAGAAAAAAGGATATGGTGTAAAAGATATAGTAAGTAAAAAGGAGATGGTGTAAAAGTTACCAGGCCCTTGTGTTCGCTTTGTATAAAGTATTTTTCAGTGTCTCTTATATTTCTGCGGTCCATGTTCTGCTTGGTCGACCTCTGGCTCTGTTACTGCTGTATCTGTATAACAATGATCTGTGGTGCCTTGTCTGATGCCAATCTTGTTACATGGCCAAACCATTAGATTTTTCGTCTACCTAAAAAGTTCAGTTTTGGTTCTGTGCTGACTCCTTCTGATATTGTCGGTTCTAAGTTGATTTTTCCTCGTTACACCTAACATAGTACATAAACATTTCTTTTGTCATGAATATTTCCCTTTTGTCTTCTGAAGACAATGTGACAGAATAAATGTTGTCAGATAGGTCTTTTTTTTTTTTTTTGTATGATTAAAAAATAAACAGCATAAATGATAACAATTGGATTTAAAAAGAAACAAACGAAAAAAGTACTGGCTCTTGAGTTCTAGCGGTGCCACTAAAGCCACCACTACCTACTTAGAACGTAACTGCTGATTTCTGTTTCTGCTATTTGAGTTTTTCATTCTCACTGATCAGTTTATTGTTGTCATGCAACCTATGCTGATGGGAGTTGTGAGTACTAACCACAACTGAAGGCTGCCTGGCCATAAAGCTTAACTATTCTGTAAGGAAAAGAAGATTTTTTAAATTTACCTCTGCAACAAACAGTACCTAACAGTAACAGCTGATCAATTACCTCCTGAGTCTTACTGAATTACTGAACTTGACTGCAACCCTTAGTGTAACCCTGCACTACAAATTAATGCAACTAAACTAGTGGGATGGGTGCCTGTCCATGATTTTACTTCTTCTTTGCATTAACTGGCTGTAAAATTCAGCGGAAAGCTCTGGTTGTTGTTCACTCCCCTCTGGATTTTTGTCTCGTTCCAGAACATGAGTCTTGATTTACATCCTTTTTATAGATCTGGTTTATTTGTAAAAGACTGTTGATTCCTTGCCTCTTAGCTACCAGATGTACTCCAACTTCGAAGGAAACCCTAACTAGTTGACTATTATCACATGCTTGTCAAGTCAAGGGGTTCTGTTTATTACCTAATAAACCACAACAGTTCTAAACCTCATTTCTATAAAAATCTTGTTATCTCACCCTATAGATGACATACGGGCATAGATAAGGTACTGTTGGAAAGATATTTGTTGTATCTGTCTAGCTGAGCTGTTTTGTTAGTATTACATGATTCTAAATAAATTCACACAAGAGTTAAGTCTTAAGTTTCTGAGGGACACAGTGGGTAATCTATTATTCCACTTTCAGAGAGGATTTAATGGCGACAAAAATTATAGCTACCAGAACACTGGTACTGGAGATGGAAGATACTTTAAAGACCATTTATGAAAGAATGTTAGAATGCTGACAGAAGACACATTGTAAGAAATAACCTGCAAGGAATGTGTGACACTGTGAAGGACTCAGAAGGAATCAGGGGAGAGGATGCTTCTGGATCCAACCGGGCATGTAGGGACGTTTATATTAGTTTATAAAATTAGAGGAAGAGAACGGCATGTGCATAATCAGTGTGCTACGAGAACAGTTAGCATCCAGACCATAAACATCATAGGCTGCGAGAGACGGAGCATCTATGGATATGCCCGGTGTGCTATGATGTCAAATCAATCAGTAAAAAAGTTTAAGTTAATAATATCCACTTTTTTGCTCCCCCAACCTACTTGGGGAGATTGCTACTTCATTATTTCACTCGCTGTTTACGTTCAAGCTATGTGAATGTTGACAGCATTACATAAGAAAACAAGGCTGTACCTCCGCAATATAAGACTTGTATCGGATACTTGACTCCTGGCTGTGGGCCGCAATATTCAAGAAAATTTTTGGCATCAACTTCAGCCATTTCTTTTCTCTCAGCATTTGCGCACAACTTCCGTTTCGTTTCGTCAAACAAATTTTTATGTTATCCACACAAAAAAATCCTTTTTGTTTTTCTATGGTCTATATCCTGACTGTCATTGAGAGTTAGAAAAAGAATTATTGCTTGCTTCATACATCCAGTTTTAACATATGGCTGTGAATCCTGGTAGGCAGGCCAAACAATTTCTTGAGGCCTCAGAGATGTGGTTTTACAAAAAGAATGCTTATAATTAACGCTGTACCGAATAGTGATTTTCACTATTCGGCCAAATACGAATATGGGACCAACTATTTGGCCAAATACGAATACAAATACAAATAGTGTATTGTGTATAAAATTTACATTCATAATGTCAAATGTACGCTGAACTTTTACTTCACATAAAGTAGCACAGAATAGTCATCCTCTTCTTTAGCATTTGGAGCCCTTGAGGTTTACTGATGCAGATATCACTCGTCTCCATTCATCTCTCTGACTGGCCTTCTCTTCACAATTTGTGACACCAGTTGTTTGCAGGTCTGGCTGGACATTATCTGTCGAACTTAACATTATCTGCCTCGTGGTCTACGCCCATTCCTCTCTCAGATGTATACAGTTTTACTTCTCTGTCATCTGACATTCTTTTAATATGCCCCAACCATTTTAGTCTGTTAGCTCTCATGATGCCAGTGATCAATGGTGATTTAAACAGATTATGTGTTACTTTGTTGTGTCTCACTCTCCATTCCCCGCTGTTAGCATCTTTGATGGGTCCAAAGATTTGTTGTAAGACTGTTTTCGAAAACCTGTAATAAGGCCCTATTTCTTTTATTTCTGCTTCAAGTTTCAGAGCCAAGTAACACGACTGGTCTTATCAACATTTTGATTTTGGTGTTGCGAGACAGCACATTGACTTTTGCAGATGTTGAAGGGTATAGTATACTTTATTTCTAGATTGTATTCTAGATTGTATTTCTTCTCTCATGTTGGAGCAGTTGAAGTTTGCACCAAAGTACTTATATGTTTCCGTTCTTTTGATTTTCATATTATCAACTTGGATGTGGCCGGAGTTTATATTCTTTCCATGTCTAGTTAGTATTTTTACAGAATAGTAAACATTTTATGTTTTGCATCCTTCAGTCAGTCTGTGGTAACTAATAACTAGGAATGAAAGAATACTAAGTATTATAACAAGTAACTAAACTTGGAAATTGTCACTGACAGCTTAGTTAATGTATGAAAGCTGCATTAGCTTTCAACAAAACAAATCGTTCAATGTTGTCAGTATTAGGGCCGTGTAGGCAGAAGCGGTTGTAAGGTAACTTCTATTCGTATTCGGCCCGTCCGCAACTATTCGGCCGAATACCGAATAGTCACCACACAAAAAAAAACCGCACAATCCTATTTTTGACCCAGACGGGACTCAATATTTAGCATGACTGATGTCGAACGCACAAGAGAGGAAAAAAAACGGAATAGGTCCACTATTCTTCCCCGAAGCGAATATTCGGTAGAGCCCTACTTATAATACCTTGGACAGCAAAAAAAGAGCAACCAAGAGGTTTTGAAAGAGGCGGGAGCCCGAAGACAACTTATCACAGACATCAGAAGAAGACAGTCATCATTTTTCGGCCATGTTATGAGAAGAGGGAAAATGGAACATGTTGTGACCACTGGAAAGATCTGTGGAAGGAGGGATAGAGGAAGACGAGAGAAGATTCTTGACAGTCCTGTTGCATGGCATGGAGGTGTGTCGGCACACGAACTGATACATGCTGCAGGCTTCCATGGATTATGGAGAGGCACCTGATAATGATGATGATGATCCTGACTGACAGACTGCCTGGCTGACTGGTGGACTGACTGCCTGACTGACTAACTGCCTAGCTGACTGGTGGACTGACTGCCTGGCTAACTGACTGCCTAGCTGACTGACGGATTGGCTGCCTGACTGACTGCCTGACAAACTGCCTAGCTAAACTGATTGACAGACTACCTGACTGACAAACTGCCTGGCTAACTGACTGCCCAGCTGACTGATAGACTGGCTGTGTGACTGACGGACAGATTGCTTGGCTAACTGATTGACAGACTATCTAACTGACTGACAGACTGCCTGGTTAACTGACTGACTATTGTCTAGCTGACTAGCATTAATGCTAAATATAACACAAAATGTGACTAGAAAGCTCAACTAGGGAAATGAAAGAGAAGCACACAAACACAACTGAACGTTTCGACCAAAGTCTTTATCAACGGAGTACCAAATACAGCACAACGTTCGGTTGTGTCTCTTAGATACAAAACACACACAGGGGACTGAAGAGCATATACACTTTATAAGCCCAGCAGTTAGAGATACACTCCAAGTTTTAAAACAGATTATAAAAATAAAAACAGGCAAAACGACCGACACATGCAGGGCAGGCTTTCTAAACACTTTACCCATAACGACAAAAGATACAGATACAAAATTGCTAGTAGCCAGCTAAGCTGAACAAAAACCCAAGCAATACATAGGCAAAGAACGAAATTAAAAAACCCAGATTGTTAAAAAGTACAAAATTTATAGTAACGAAACGAAACATGTATCCACTTTTTATTTAAGGATATATATATCTATATATATTTATAATCCCAGATTTCCAAATTTGAACCCAATGCGTAAAATAAAAACCAAGATCTGGGGGTAAAAGCCCATCATTGGCAGCCCTAGTCTTAGTACACAACAAACCAGGGTTATTCAGCGAGGTTTACTCTGGGGTCAATATTTTGAAAATAGGGATCGCTTCAGGTCAGAGGCCCGAACTCCCAGGCATAACAGGATTATCAATACAACTGGCAATGAACCGTGGGGCATTTACTAGACTGACTGACTTTCTACCCTACTAGGACATCACACAAGCGATAAACACCCGATGACACAAAGTGCCACCATGTGGATGAGGATCACCGTGGAGAGGTCCCAGAAACCGCGTTCAGACAATTGGCCATATTTATGACCTGTCTATATTGCGGCCCCGGCAAAAGCCATGGTGGGGCTTCAAATAACTACAAATTTCATCCTAAAAAAGACGTAAAGATTAATATGGGATTTACTAGACTTCGTGGGTCAGATCTTTAGCCCTGTTATAAACAACTGATGCAGGATACTTAAAATGTCAATATATTTGACACACACACACAGACACACACACACACAATTTAAATTCTTCCCTATTACTGGATATTTTCTATTATAAAATCCAACCAACATTTTTTGAATAATATAGAGGATTTTAAAGTTTCAATAGGCTTCTTTTCCCTCTTTCAAAGTTTACATTTATTTTACCATCTATGGGCCTTTCTTACAAGAGCCCCCCTCCCCCCCCCACCTCCACCTCAAAAAAAATTCCACGTTTTATTCCGCACAACTGATTTACTACTAATCCTTGTTTGCTTCCACTTCAGTGAGTCCTTCATTCACCTATGTTCTCTTTGTCCCGCAAACAGGCTGTACTTTATTTTTAATTTACCCTAAACAAAGGAAACCCAGGAAAATCCAATGTTCCAGGAGTCTTATAGGTTAGGGTTAGAGATTATGGTATGACAGTTTATCTTGTAACAAGATCCGTGCCGTAGCTGGAATTTGGCAGGTAGGTCAAATGCCCTGGATGCCACTTAGACAAAATCGCAGCCTCTTTTCCAAAGGATCCGCAGTGAATTTAAAATCTTATTGAATAAGGTTAGAAAGGTTACAGGATTATCCTATTATAAACTCTAAAAAAGATAATCATGATCATGTACGGTGTGGACAAGCGTAGGGGATCATGGTTCGCCATCCCGTGTGGTAATCTAAACCATGGATCAGGTCAGCGCTCTTGTCCCGCCCCCTCAACATGAAAGAGCATTTCATGTATTTATTTCTTTGTCGTCAGGTATAGATATGTGATTTACGTTGACATATAAATCAAGATATCTTTATATTGATCTGAGAACCGAAATCGTAACAGTTGTAGACATTTTTCAAAAATATCCTCGTCAACCCTCAGGGTTATATTTGGGATATATAGTGTTCTCAGTGTATATGTTTTTTTTTTTTAAATTTATCTATCCTGTATTTATTTATATGACTAAAATGTAATTTTTTACTGTTTCACATTTTGCTTTGATTTGGGAGTGATTATGGTAGAAAACTGTACTATGAATAATTACACAATCTTACTAACATCATAACATTCGGGACATTCCCATAAGCGCTCTGTCCCAATCTTCAGCAGCAAGCGTAGTTCCAGTTCCGCTAGTACCACTAGCAGTCTGCGTGTATGTCAATTTTCCCTCCGTGTGAAGTGTCGACTAGATCCCCTTGTCACTTTCCACGGCTTCTCTCTTGTCCGGCTACGATCATCTATTTGTGCCTCTGATTGTTCACTCGCTTCCAAAGGATCCTGATTCGTGATAACATCTAGCTTGTCGCAAATTACTTTATCCCCAAGTTTACATGCCAACACATCCTGTAGCAAATATTCAAAAGACGCTAACAACCTGGGACCTCCGAAACGTTTCTTTTTACTCTGAACGGCAAACACCTGTCTCCGCCTTTCTCGGCATGCTTTGTGAGTTCTGACTGACTGACTTTCTACCCCACCAGGACATCAGACAAGCGACAAACACCCGATGACACAAAGTTCCACCATGTGGATGAGGATCGCCGTACAGAGGTCCCAAAAACCGCGTTCAGACAATTGGCCATATTTATGGCCAGTCTATATTGAGGCCCCTGGCAAAAGCTAGGGTGGGGCTTCAAATAAAAAAAAATTTCATCCTAAAAAGGACGAAACTGGGTATTGCATTTTGTGAGTTCCGATCACGGCCTTCTCTATATACAGAAGGATCTGGTTCTGATGATGATTTTCGCATAAAATTATTTTTCGTTTCCCTACCCAGAAGTCTAGGGCAATATTTATTTTTAACGAACCGGAAGTTGGTGTTGTTGACAACGGGGGACGCCTAGCCCGAACCAC